CTGGAGTTTCTTCTAGACCGTCGCTGAATCTCTTCCCAATCACTGCCTTACTTCTTCCAGTTCAACAATCATCGCTAGATTTCTATCTGATTATTCAACATGTTATAATTCCAACGTCTCCAAGTAAATGAGTGAATCAAACTTTGTAACCAACCCAAACTTTGTGAATTCTCATATGGGCCAGACTCTCATGGTTTTTCCCTTTTTGGGTTTTCCACGTAAAAAAGTTTCTGTTGTTTTCTCTCTCTCAACTATCTGTTGATGTGCTGGATATATGTCCATTGCTAAGACGTTATATTTTTCACTCTAGTGATGCGTATATTCTAGTCTGCAACAATAACGATTAATGATTGCATGGGCATTGCACGTCATTGTTATCAATGTTAGGTAAATGGTAAAATTTTGCATTATTTATACAAATTGGTGCACCTTATTATAGTCGTGTGGTATGTTGAGAGCTAGGGCATGGATATTTTTGGTCCTCTTTAAGGGTCATTACTTCTTATTAGTTGCAACTGATTATTATTTTTTTAATGGGCAAAAGTTGTTCCATGAGAGTAAGGGTGTCAATTTTGAGTCACGGGTCGGGTTCGGGTCGAACTCGGAACTGACCCGGGTTCAAACGGGTCAACCCTAACCCTACCCAGATAGGTAAACGGGTCAGAAATTCGAACTCGAACCCGACCCGGCGGGTTGCCGGGTTGACCCGACCCGTCGTGGTCAAATTTAGAGCTAATTAAAAATAAATAAATGTACGACCCTCCCGCTGACTGTATATATATTTATAAATCTTTTATATTTTATTTTATTTTTATTTAAGTAAAATAAATATAATGAAAAGCTCAAAGTTATGGTTATTGATGGCAAATGAAAGGCCATGGCTGACGGGGGTGGGCGGCGATGATAGATATTGATGGTGGTGATTGCGATGTGAATGGCTGACAGTAGTGCTACCGGACGATCACAACGATGAGATGATGGGTTGCGGTGGTCGACAGTGGCCTCAGACCAACGATTGACGACGATGGCAAAAAATTTACGATGTATTTATAGATCTCTTGCATTCTAAATACATCAAACATTTTACTTGAAATACTTTACAATTCTTTTACATCATACCAAATAGTTTCTAATCATAAACGAAAAGAATAAGATAAAGTCAATTTTGTTTTTTTGAAAGAGAAACGTCACATCACTTAAACTTAAAAAAAAATATATCAAAATAATTTTACGATTATCAAATTTATTTCAAAATAAATATAATATAAACTTCCATTAATCATTCATACATCCCAAAATAATCCCATCAAACTTTAGTCACAATATTTCAAATATTTTATTCAAACTTGCAATCAATATGCTCCCAGCTGTCCCCTCAAACTTTCAATGTTAGTTCAAATATTTTTTTGCTGCATGATAATATAATTCATCATGATTTAAACGTGTCATGTTATATGTATGTTGACATGTTGTAACCAATCCATTTAGGGTTCGTTTGGGACGACTTTTTTATTGCTTTTTAAAATGGAGTTTTAGTACAAATTTTTTTATTTTTTATTAAAACTCCGTTTTAGAAAGCAATAAAAAAGCCGTCCCAAGCGAAGCCTTAACCAATATGTTTAATATTTTCATAATTATAACACAAAATATAAAATTGCAATCATTGAGATGGATGACTTACGAAAGTATTGTCAATAGATAAAAATTGTAGAAGAGAATTACACTACTAAAAAGAAAGCATAAAGATAACATTAGCTAGCAACAATTTTCAAATCGTTGCTAAACATTCTTTTCTGCCGGTAATAAAATTACTATGAAAATCCCTTGCAGTGAATGTCAATTATATCGGCCGTGAGGCAATTTGGAAACCACTAAAAGATTTTTTGTGACGGTTAAAATCACGAGGAAAGCCCTTCAAAATTATTGCAAAAGCTATTTTTTCTTTGAGTGGAAAACTCTATCTTTTATATTCTATAGTAGTTAAGCTATCATACATCTTTAGTTTTGTGGCCATTGTAATCATAGAAAACTTCTTTTTTCGATAAGAGAAGCATATTATGGCTCGTTTGGAACAGCTTTTTATTGATTCTTAAAGCTGCTTTAAAAAGCAATGAGAAGAACGTCCCAAATGAAGCCTATATCTCCTAAGAAAGTTTAGGTGTTCAGTGCTCAACATGTTAGACTTTATTTATAATCTTTCAAAATTTTTCTTTGTGTCATTTTCCACTTTGTAATAATTCTTTTTAATGTGCTATAGAATCCTCTCTAAGCCTTTTTTAAGTTCTTTTTTCTTAAGATGTTTAGTGTTGTAACATCTCAATATTCTCATCATGATTTTATTAAATGCCACGTTATAATCATCTATAGACATAATTTTTCAACAACGTTGTATCTATCACGTGTCATCTGAATTTGAAGAGAGCATAAACTAATCGTCAATGCAGAAACCCGCATCAAAAGGTGAAAAAATGAGAGCTGGAATGAACTAAATCCTACATCTAAAGGTGAGAAAATTTTCCAAAAATGCAAGAATATTGTAAATTATAATGAGGATTTGTGACTTCTACATATTGTATTGTAAAATACACAAAGTAGCAATAAACTAACATTCACATCAAATTTAGAGTTGAGGAAAACAAAATAATTTGAAATTGTTTGTGATAGGGCATATATCCATCATAAATTTTGTTATAAATATTTTTTTGGACAAAAACAACAACAACATAATTTTTCACTCATATTCTCCTTTTTTTTTTTTTTCTTTTTCTCTCACTTTCATCTCTTATTCTCCCAAGTTATTTGGTTACCAATAATATTCTTTGTTGACTCCTTGGTATATCCCTACCCTTTTCTTCCTTCTCACAAGAACTTCTTCAGCATTATGTTTGTTCATTCGAAATAGCAAGGCTGATGCAGCTTTCTTTGATATGTTAGTCGAGAGCTTTGACTACCAACTAAGAGGTTTTGGGTTCAAGTCTTATGTATGTGATGTGTGTATAAGTTTTAGCTACCGACAAAGATGTGTTTACCTTAATTGGCCTAAATGTTTCAGAAAAAAAGCATAATGCATGTTTTTTTTTGGAACAATTAGACGAATTAAGATAAACTTACACATGCAGCAGATACATAAGACTCAAATTTAAAACTTCTTAGCTGATAGTCATGACTACCAACCATAGATAATTTCGCAAACCATTAGCGGTAGGCATTATTGACTTATTTGTTGGCTGTGGGAGCTCTCAGCTGCTCCATAAATATTGTATTGTCAATTTAAAAAAATGGTTGATTTTGAATCATAATAAAACTATTTAAATGATCATGATTAGAATCTTGCAAACCACGTGGAAATGCTTCAGACTTTTTTAAAACGGTTTTATTATGCTTTTTCAAATAATTTTTTAATAGAAAATTTTTAATTTTATAATAAAAAAATCGTCCCAAATAAAATTACTCACTGAACAACAACAACAATGGTGCACCAAGCCGGCCCTTGAGTTTTAGACAATGAATCCGCCCGAGCTTCCTCTCTGTATCTTTTTCTTCTGTCTTTAGTAGCCCATTCATCTTTGGCATTTTGTTTCCCGTCACCATCGATGGACACTGAGCAATGTCGTAGTGGCTAATCACTCGCCATGAGTTTCTCGCCCATGTCTTCTTCTTTCCCATGCTTCTCTTCTTCCTTTGCTTCATATTTAACATATTTGAAAATAATTTTCTAACATTAAGTTTATTAATATGAGCTTTGATACTTCACCAAAAATCACTTTGATTAGACACTAATATCGAGGTATATTTGAATTAAAAATTTTTAAAATTAAATTTATGATCATCTAAACTCCGATCTCAACAACCATACAATCAAACTGAACGTTTCGAGAAGACGAAACCAATGACATCAAAATCGGCCCGGGGCCCAATTCAACCCCAAATGGGCTCTACCAAGGGACTGAAGCATATTTGAAATTTTTGAAGCATTAATTGGGCAACCAATTAATCTCCAAATATGGCATACTTATAGTTGAATCGAGGTGTTTGATTAGGGGTGTAAAAGAGTCTGAGTAGAGCTCCTGTCACCTGTGGCTTGAGCTTGGGCTTGATTAGGCTATGAAAGAGAGAAAATGATTATGATTTAAGCTATTAATAAAATAAAATAGTAAAAAGAAGAATAAATTTAAGAAACATAATAAAGAATTACTTAATATAAGAAATTATGATATGGTTTTTAAATATTTTCAGCAATTTTGTTTGTTAATTCCTGAATTGTAATATATTTTAACTATATGTTATATTAATGTTTTTTAAATGAGCCAGCTCACAAGCTTACGATCGAGTCAAGTCAAGGCTAACTCAAACTTGGTTCGTTAGCTCATTGAGCTCAACTCACGAGCTATTTATAAAGCCGGGCTCAAGCATGCTTATGAGTTGTCTTGACTCACACACTTAGGCTTGATGAGATGAGTCCAACGAGCCCAAGATCACTTAATCCTAAGATCATTAATCAATATTAATGAAAGTTCTTTGATCGAAGGAATTAATACAGACTGTTTGATGAAGTACTCCGACTTTGTCCTAGATTTTCTATATATTTATAGAGCATGTCACTCTAAAAAATCTATAAATATGCATTCATTCTTCATATGAAAGACGGGAGGAGGAGGAGGAGGAGAAAGAGAATTATGGAGATAACTCTCTTATATTTTCATACATTGTTGTCGACAATCATGACCACTAGCTATCACTACACACAAACATTATCGCCACTAACGACCATCATCATAAATCACCGGCATCTCCAGAATACTTACAAGATTTAATCATATTATTGAGTATATTTGTCCCCATGTAGACATCTATTTATATATTTTATATTGGAAAAATTAATCTCTATTGTTGGATATAGACTGTCCCTCTATGGACGCTTGATATTTTTACTCTCCCTCTTCTTAAACAATGAAGAAAGAAGGATCGTTGTATCACTTTCTACATAATGGATTGTACAACTATATAGGTAACTCAATTTGAATGACTTTGCTCTTAATGCAATCACGAATAAATTGAAAATCTATCTCAATATGCTTTGTCCTGGCATGAAAGATGGGATTAGTAGCAATTACCATAGCCGATATATTATCACAAAATAGCCGAGTGGGTTGTGAGACATTGAGCTGAAATTCTTGGAGCAGTCGACGGAGCCAAATAATATCCGTAGTGGCAGTAGCGAGTGCACGATACTCAGCTTCGGATGAAGATCTAGCTACAGTTTTCTGTTTCTTAACATGCCATGAGATAAGAGAATTACCAAGAAAGGCACAATATCCAGAAGTCGACTTGCGGTCAATGGGATCACCCGCCCAATCAGAATCAGAAAATGCAGATAACTCTAGAGAACCAGACGAGATCGGTAAACCAAATAGAATGGTACCTTTGATATAGCGAAGGAGACGTTTGAGCAATTTGAAATCGTCTTCAAGAGGCATATGCATATGCTGGCATAGTTTATTAACAGTAAAAGCTATATCAGGACGGGTGATAGTCAAGTATTGCAATGATCCGACAATATGTCTAAAATTTTCTGATTGAACTGCTGACAGTTCAGATTGAGAGTATGGCTGCAGTTTGGAAGGAGCTGGAGACGCAATAGGTTTGCACTCAGACATGCCCGCACGGTTCAAGATTTCAGCGGCATATTTGGACTGGGCCAAATGAATTCCAGTTGGTGTATGAGAAACCTGCATACCGAGAAAATAGGAAATGTTTCCCAAATTTTTCATGTGAAAATGAGTGGATAATCCATTTAGAAGCTGCTGGATAGTTTGTTCATGATTGCCGGTTAACAAAATATCATCTACATAAACTAAAATGTAGAGAATAATGGATTCTTTGTGAAATAGTAGCAAAGAAGAATCAGCCGAGCTATGGATAAATCCATACTGAAGTAGATATGCAGAAAATGTTTCAAACCATTGTCGTGGCGATTGCTTCAAACCATAAATAGACTTTTGAAGCAAGCAAACATGCTCAGGGTATACGGGATCAACAAAACCGGTAGGTTGTCTCATTAGAATAGTTTCATTTAATTTGCCGTGGAGAAACGCATTCGAGACATCAAGTTGTAAAATTTTCCATTTAGAAGTGACAGCAACTTTAAGGAAAATACGTTAGTTGGTATCTTTGCCACTGGACTGAACGTTTCATTGTAGTCCAAACCATATTGTTGATGACTACCTTGAGCAACAAGGCGTGCTTTATATCTGGCTATAGTACCATCAGAGTTTAACTTGGTCTTATAGATCCATTTACACCCCAAGACATTTTGATTTGGATGAGAGGGAATAAGCTTCCATGTGCCTTGCTGCTGTAAAGCATTAAATTCCTGCGACATTGCTTGTCGCCAAGAGTTGTGTTTAACAGCCTGTGAATAACATGTAGGATCCGACGAGAGTAGTAAATGATTCAGGCTAATGATATGGCGCGGCTTTAACTTCCCTGTTTTAAATCTCGTAAGCATAGGGTGGGGAATATGGCTAGGAGAAGAGGTGGAGCTTGTTGATTGTTGAGGAGAAGCTGAAATTTCTGTAGTTGGAGATGGGGTAAGATTAGCAGTAGGCAATGATATTGTTTGATTTCTTTGTGGAGGAGAATCAGTTGAGGTTATCTGTGTTACAGCAGTACTGGAAGACTTTGTTATCGTAGGAACAAGTGATAAAAGTGGGATATCATGAGAAGAGGAAGTGACAGAATCAGCTTGCTGTTCAAATAAATAAGGAAAAATAGATTCAATAAACCTGACATGACGAGAAAGAAATATTTTACCAGAAGGAATATGAAAACACAGATAACCTTTGGTGGTATTGGAATATCCAAGAAAGACACAAGGTAGAGATTTTGGATGAAGTTTGGAGAGAATTTGAGAAGGTAAGAAGGGATAGCATAAACACCCAAAAATGCGTAAAGATTGATAATCTGGCGGTGTTTTATATATCATTTGAAAAGGGGAATGAAACTTATTTGAAAGAGATGGTAGATAGTTAATCAAATGTACAGCTGTTTGAACAGCATGTAACCAAAACGTTTGAGGTAAATTTGCTTGAAACAGAAGTGCACGAGCGGTTTCCAAAATATGCCGATGTTTTCGTTCAGCCACACCGTTCTGTTCAGGTGTATAAGGGCATGTGCACTGATGGATAATACCAGAGTTAGAGAGAATTAGTTGAAAATTTTTAGAAGTATATTCTCCACCGCCATCTGATCTAAAACATTTAATTTTAGTATCAAATTGGCGTTCAACTAATTTTTGAAATTGGCAAAACACACTAAGCACATCGGATTTAGCATATAATGGATAAAGCCATGTGAAACGAGAATAATCATCAATAAACACTACATAATATTTATAGCCTTGCAAAGATACTATGGGAGAAGGTCCCCATACATCACTATGTATTAATTGAAGAACACTACTAGAACGAGAAGTAGACTTTGAGAAAGGAAGCTTGTGACTTTTAGACATGGCACAAGCATTACAATGAAGATTAGAAGGAACAGATGGTGAGGTAGACTCAAACATCTTGTGTAACTTAAGCAAAACAGGATGAGATGGATGACCCATGCGACGGTGCCAAAGCTGAACAGTTGTAGGAAGCGAAACAAGAGCTGTGGTAGAGACGACAGGCGATGATTCAGTAGAAATTGGGTAGAGTCCGTGACGAGCCGGGCCTTGAAGGAGAGTTTGATGAGTCTTCAGGTCCTTGATGACATAACCAGAAGAATGAAACATTACATAACAAGCATTATCATTAACCAATTTATTTATGGATAAAAGGTTATGATGAAGATGAGGAACCAAATGAAGAGAGTTGAGCGAAAGCTTACGAGAAGAAGGTGTAGGTAATAAACCTTTTCCAGTGTGAGTAATAGGGAGTAATTCGCCATTACCAACCATCACCTGTTGAGATCCACCGTAAGGTTGAGCATTGAGCAGTTGTAGAGGGTCGGAAGTCAAGTGTGACGTAGCGCCAGTATCGAGAATCCAATCCGATGAAACTGGTGAAGTAGTAGCTGTATTGGCTTGAACCGGAGGTGGTAAGGAAAAATCAGCACGATACCAACATTTGTAGGCAGAATGCCCAGGTTTTCCGCAAATTTGGCATTCAACCGTGGGAGTAGAACTGGAAGATACACGAGTGTATGTTCCTCTATCGCGAGACGACCGAGAAAATCGTCCTCGTGAAGCTCTAACACGAGCACGACCACGTTGTGCATACATGGCTGGAATGTTATCAGCTGGAGATGAAAGAGATAGCTCTCGAACAGATTCTGCAGCTAGATTAAGCTCTTCACTGCATAATAGCGAATAAAAATCATCCAGACTTATGGGATTCAGATTTGTTCTAATGGCAGTTTTAAATGCCTGATAGATAGCGGGTAAACCATTTAAGGTATACATAATGACATCTTCCTCAGACAAGGGAGATCCAAAGGACCCAATGGCATCAACCTTGCTCTTAATTTCAGACAAATATTGTACCATAGATTTGTCCTTCATATTTAAGTGATTGAGCTCATTTTTAAGCTGTAAAATTTTAGAACGATTCGTAAATTGAAGACGTCGTTCAACGGTTTGCCATATCTCAAAACAAGAGGTAAGCTCCAAAACGTAGGGAAGAAAAGTAGTGGAAATCGTCGAATACAATACTGCAGCTAAATTTTGATCTATCAATATCCATGTGCTATAATCAGGATTGAGTTGTAACTCACCAGAGGCCGCCTTAATCATACAGTCTGGTTTGGGCGTTGATCCATCTAAATACCCATCAAATCCGTTGGCTGTAAAGAGCTTGTATATTTGTGATTTCCAAAGAGGGTAGTTATCTCCGGTTAACTGAATATTGAGCACAGCTTTCACATTTGTCATTAAAAACTTTAGTTGAGCTGGTATCTGTATATCTGCCATTTTTATAACCGGCAAGACTTGAACAGAAGTTGCAGACGAAGACGAGGAATCCATTTGGAGAACAGAGAATCAGAATACGATGAAGGAAACACTAATCAGAGTTGCAGCGCTCTGATACCATGTTGATCTTCTTCTCCATTGCTAACCTGCACAAGGATTAGAAAAGGCAAAGCAGGAAAAGAACAGAACAGAGTAAGGAGAAGACGAATGGAACAGTGAGCTTCTAAAGCTTTTTCACTATGTCTTTTGCTGTGCTGCATACAGTTTTATACAACCAATGCATAAAGAAGATGATGAAGACATCAATGGTTATGATGTAAACCGTTAGAGATCAACGGCTGAATAACCTTCACGTTCTGGCACAGCAGGCGGTAGTGGACTGCAAAGAGTAGTGGATATAAGTTATACCACTTATTGGGCTGCTTGCTTATCAGTTGGCTTATCACCGCCCCGCAAGCTAACAGGAGGTTCCGAAATAGTTAGCTTGTCTCTTAGATTAGCAAAACGAGAGATAGAAAGGGACTTAGTAAATAAGTCAGCAAGTTGATCTTGTGTATGTATATGCTCAATTTGAATGACTTTGCTCTTAATGCAATCACGAATAAATTGAAAATCTATCTCAATATGCTTTGTCCTGGCATGAAAGATGGGATTAGTAGCAATTACCATAGCCGATATATTATCACAAAATAGCCGAGTGGGTTGTGAGACATTGAGCTGAAATTCTTGGAGCAGTCGACGGAGCCAAATAATATCCGTAGTGGCAGTAGCGAGGATGGACACTGAGCAATGTCGTAGTGGCTAATCACTCACCATGAGTTTCTCGCCCAAGTCTTCTTCTTTCCCATGCTTCTCTTCTTCTTTTGCTTCATATTTAACATATTTGAAAATAATTTTCTAACATTAAGTTTATTAATATGAGCTTCGATATTTCACCAAAAATCACTTTGATTTGACACTAATCTCAAGGTATATTTAAATTAATTTTTTTAAATTAAATTTGTGACCATCTAAACTCCGAGCTCAACAATCAAACTGAACGTTTCAACAAGACCAAACCAATGACATCAAAATTGGCACAATTCAACCCCAAATGGGCTCTACCAAGGGACTGAAGCATATTTGAATTTTTCGAAGCATTAATTGGGCAACCAAATAATCTCCAAATATGACATACTTATAGTTGAATCGAGCTGCTTTATCAGGGGTGTAAAAGAATCTGAGTAGAGCTCGAGTCACTCGTGGCTTGAGCTTGGGCTTGATTAGGCTATGAAAGAGAGAAAATGATTATGATTTAAGCTATTAATAAAATAAAACAGTAAAAAGAAGAAGAACTTTATGAAACATAATAAAGAATTACTTAATATAAGAAATTATAGTTGAATCCCTATTGTTGGATATAGACTGTCCCTCTATGGACGCTTGATATTTTTACTCTCCCTCTTCTTAAACAATGAAGAAAGAAGGATCATTGTATCACTTTCTACATAATGGATTTTACAACTAGGTTAGACCCGTCAATTTTTTTTGACTTTTTGGGTTTTTCACGTAAAAAGTTCTATGGTTTTACTATTTTTACATGTGCGTGTTGAATTTTTGTACAATGCCTAAACAAAAAACACATTATACCGACTCAAATTTTCAAGCACGCAACAAACTTATAACCAAAATTAGTATTTGGAAGCTAAAAGCTTATAAAGACATTATATTTATTTATTTAGGGATTATTCTATATGGACACCGGACGGGAGAACCGTCCGGTTAAGCTTGGTACCGAGCGCGGTATATTTTTGGGGTGATGTGGTGCATTTTTATTGGTCTCCGGACAACATCTGGACTGCACACAGAATAATTTGCAAATTTTAGGGCATTAACATGAGAACGCTACAAAATTTGGCATGATAGGAGAGAGAGAGAGATGAGGGGGCCAGAGAGAGAGAGAGAAATATTAAAATAAAATATTTTATAATTTTTTAATATTTTAGTATTATAATTTTGTTTAATTTTTTTAAATACTTTTCATATTAAAAATATAGAAAAAAATTTATAAAATCATGAATATAAGTCCTAAGCACAAATAAAACAATTTATACCTACATAAGAAAA